ATGGCCTCTCGAGCAAATATATAATCTAAGATCTTCATTTTTAAGTGTTGCTTCTATCAAAAACAAAATTCCCAGATAGTTTTTCAGTCTTTTAAACAACTTGACTAAATCTTTATGAATTTTTAAAGATTCAAATATTTACTCTTGCTTATTAATTTGATTGTGTATTTATTTCATAGAGTTTGTTTAGGCTAACCCCACACACACTCACAATCAAAACTGTGGACAGAGTCTGTCTTATTTCAAAAAAAATGGGCTTCTGTTAGTTGTTGCAGATTGGCATCAACAGCTTCTGTTCTTTAACCACTTGAAGAGTACATAAATGTATGGCTTTTCTATATCACATGAACTCTTATTAGTCTCCAGTGCTCCACACAAACATTTTTTTAATGGGTTGTCTTCAAATTCTCTGTAGACCTATTGCCAAGATTACTCAGACAGTAGTTGGTCTATGAAGCATTTAGTTCTTCTTTTGTAAAGTTAATTCAGAAATCAAACAGGGGTAAGCACTCAGCTACTTGATTCTATTTAGCCCTTTTCACATCAGCAAATCCTAAGTGTATGTCAAGGCAGACTGTGGAGACAATACCATTATCCAGCCAAAGCTTGGTTGTGTGATAGATTTGTCTACACTGCTTGAGTTGATTGTATCAGTTGGATATTTTCCAAATCTTGATGCATTGTGGACCCAGGCTGAGTGACAACATTCATACAAATGGCATGAGTAACTCATAACATTTAAAAGTGAACTGTTTCTTTGACTGCATAGTCATCAGATACATCTTGGTAAAATGTGGTTAGAGCTGTTAGCTCAGCTTTCTCACTTACTTCAAAAAGTTTGCAACGTCTGTCCCCATCTGTTATGTGATCCCAGGCTAAATCACTATGCTTAGAGTGTGTTCTTACTTTTCAGGGCAGGGCTTTTATGAAGGTGTTCCGTAAAAGCCTCCAGGTGTCAGCAACCTGCCCGAATGGTTCCCATTAAATCTGCTGGGAGGTGATGACATCTCAAATGTCACAACGCCTCTCCTGAGCAGCTAATTGTGTTAAATTCGAAAATAACCACGTGTTTGGTTCTGTAGGCCCAGCTGCCTCCAAATTAGCAAACTAACTGCAATCAACCTAAAAATTCTCACCACCAGCATGGACATTCTACAGTGATTTGTCTGCTTGCAATAAAAGTAGGTAGGACAACTTAATTTAGAGGCAGTGGGTCTCGTTGGTGTCTGTCAGTCAGTATGAACAACTGGCTGATCTCATTAGGTCAGTTCTAAAGAGCTCATGGTGTGTTCTCATTACTGTTTTCAAGCTAGACATGCAAATAAGAATCAAAATATTCCAAGAGAGACTAAGTGTCTAAGTATACCTAGGCAGGTTAGTAACAATTAACACAGAGAGCCATGCCAGTTGCTGGGGTGGAGGAAGGGGGAAAAAGGAGAGGGTAGTAGATGCTGTTACAAAATTACACTCCATAAATTAACAGTAAAAAAGAAAATGAATATAAAATAAACAAAACCCATTAAGGATGTTATTTAACATAAATAAAGTCTCACCGCTTGGTCCAAAAGAACAACCTCTCAAATAGGAAAATGGGTTAACCTGTGAGGCTGGTCAAATGTTAAAACATGGCACCACATAGAAGCCAGTATGATCTTGAAGGGAATTAATTCTCTATTCAGGAGAAAGAAGATTCAGTGCTGATCAGAACACACTCAGACAGTTGCTTTTAGTTTTGAGTTCCGGGTATAAAGAAAAGGATAGACAGTTCTGCCATATCTCCAAGAGTGGGGAGAATCATATCTCTTTGTCACATGATGAACAAGAAAATATGGGGATGTGCAAATTGAGAAAGTAGTGCCAAAAGGAGTCTTATTTGTTTTCCAAAACTCAAAGTTGTGTCTTGTAGAAATGGATTCTACTTGTACTGGTGAACTATAGAGATGGACAATAAGAATGGTGAATGGAAATGTCCACAGACATGATTTTAACCCAAGGAAATGACCTTTGCTCCTGGGCCTCATTAATAATTAAGATACTGCTTAGAGAAGTAATATGCATAGTCTTGGCTGCATTTGGATATAGGTTACTTGACCACCTTTCTGTGGTGGGGAGATTGATATCTGGATGGAAATGGGGTGGAAGAGGTAGCATTTAAAGTCCATTTCTACTCCTGAAGTTCTTTGAGTCCATGAGGGGCCATCACCTTTGAAAAGTGTGTAGTGTTCAGTATCTTACTTCTTTGGGAAAAGAAGAGAAGATAATGCCCTTAGGAGGTCAATAGATTTATTTTACTATACTTAAGCGTAATGAAGAAAACTAGAGCTTTCCATTTTCAGAGTAGCCTATTTATACTAAATAAGCTTTTCTCTTAATCCATCAGTCATCTACCAGTCTCCAACAACAAGGAATCTGAAATGGTATGGGTTACGTTTTCAAAAATACAAACCTAAAAGTTGAAAAAAAGCCAAAGCAATTTTAGATATCAGTTTACTTGCATTAAGACCATAATCTTAAAAGGTACAAAAGAAGCTGAGCTTAGAAACCTTGCAGGGGGGCTTTTATTTATATAGTAAAACAAACATGAGTGGCATTATGGCAGGTGCTCACAGCAGCGGACATTTGCTACTCTGCTGAAAACGCGCTTCACTAGTCTCTAAGATAGTTCACTGAAAAACACACATCAAGATTATAGAATGTTACATTTTTAAGCGATGTCACCATGTGCTCAGGGTCAGAGTTCTATGCCAAACACCAGATGTTCTTATCAACAGAAGCAGCTTTTTGTACTAGGTGTATAAACTATGGGCATCTTTGCAGACACGCAATTGTCTGCTAACTTGGGTGCTTGATGAAAAAATGTCTTTGGATTGTAAAACACAGAATACAACACTCAAGGTAGCACCCCCCCCCCACCTTCAAACCATGCCATGTATCCACACCGTTTGCAATGCCAAGAGAAAAAAAAAAAAGCCAAGGGCTAGAAAGCCCCGAAGAGAAGTGCTCCAGCTTGTCATTTTATTTAGTGAGTTTCTGCCTAGATCATCATTGCATTTTGAATGAAGCAAAGAATCTCGCTGTTAAGGAAAGCACACACCTTCCCCGCCAGTGTGGTCAAATTAATGTTTATTTTCTCCAGTCAGCAATATCTGTCTTGTCTCCGCCTTCCATGCAGATATATAAGCATAAAACTTTCACAAACAGGAATTCTTGAGAGTCAGTAGAATGTGGCTTTGAAGCTGATGTGTTTACAGTGCCTTCAACATGGTAGGTTGTGATTTTGCACTGTCATAATAAATAGATAGATAGATAGATAGATAGATAGATAGATAGATAGATAAATGAAAAAGAAAATGGGAAAACAGTGCAAGTCACCAAGCTTATTGGGGGAAGTTTTTTGTGATACAGGGACGTAGGTGGCCCATTGTGCAAACTATGTAACATTCAGAGGGTGTGCAACAGAATAGCAAAACATCTAGAACATAGTCTAAGGAAGGAGAGGTATCAATATTAGTTTAATTGTCATTCTAACCTTGTCAACTGTCAACATTAATGCGCTCATCAATGGGATATATCCATCTTTGTCCCTTTGTCACTCAGGAAATGTTCTATGGTGCTTGCTTCAGATGGCCCTGGAGTGTTTACATGGTTTACCCCCAACCATATAACTCTGTTTTATGAAGAAGAAGGTATTTGGGTTTTCTGTACAGGAGGCTGTTGGGTATGAGCAGCATACAACTTCTCTGCCCTCTTTGTGCTCAGTTATAGCTGGATGGAATGGGGTGGAGGTTGAATGGGAGACGGGGAAGCAGAAGAAATGTAGGTCAAGTTTGCTTCTCATCACCACTTCGTGATCAATGCAACTACAGCCGCTCTCCCTTCTCTCTGCTCCACAGACAGCCAGCACCATGAGCCAATGCCGCCCCCTCACCGCCTCCTGCTCCTATCAGGCCAACCAAGTGGATAAACCCAGGGGAACAGAAGGACGATCTTTTAGGATGAGCTGTGATCACTATTTAGAAATAGCATAACTGTGTACAAAATGTTTTCTCAAGAAGTAGGGGCAGAGCCGGAAGCATCCATTGTTAAATACTGTTCCCAGCCAGTTCCAGTATTGAATATTGAATATTTTCTCTCTAATGTAGTCATACCCTGTTTGCTCTCATGGGTCTTTAGTCAAAATCCATCTGGACTGCAGGAGGCTCTCCTGACCTAGGTTTTAATTCTTGCCTTTCCCTCAGACATATTATGTAACAGGCCAAGCGTGCCTTGTGTTTTCTGCATATCTTTTTCGCAAAATGAGAGTAGAAAACCCACTCTTCTACTTTTCTCTTAAAATTTTGCTAAAGCTAAGCTGTTTGCTTTTGGTTGTTTAATTATTTATTTTTTTGAATATTCATAGCTAACTTAAGAGACTTTTTTTCTTGTTGTAAAAATTTTAAATAAAGTAGATAAGGCCAGAATGGCATCACATTTGAGACTCTCAGTGCAGACTAGACATGGAAGTGAGATGCCTAAAATCTGGCAAACTGGAGCTCAAGGATGCTGATTTTGGGAAAAGAAGTCATGGGGATTCAGGTTTACAATGATTAGCCTCTCCTAGTCAACACAACTTCTTTCTTTTTTTATTTTTTATTTTTTTACCAGTTAATGCCTGCTGTTCAGGCCACTTTTATTTTTAAATAGCCATGGAGTAAGTGCTGGGGATGAAGAGTATAGCTTGGCACCAACATTCCTACATGGATAGCAGCGCTGTGGAAGGGATACACAGACTGCTTCCACAAAGCCATGGGAACAGTCAACACAACTTCTTACTGGCTAATAGGGAGAACGGGATTCATGGCCCTCATAGGATATTCTTAAGACCTCATTTTCCAAGTTTGAATACCAATTCCTCCCTGGGAGGGGGCAACACTAGCTCCTGAGATTCCGGGCTGGGTATGGTGTGTGGAGGCGCCATCATTCTGATCCAGGTTTTTTATTCTGTTTCTGTTCCCTTACAGATCTCTCAGCATGGAGGCTCCTCTACTTCACTCTCCTCCACAAAAGTCTGCAGCTCAATGGATGAGAACGATGGCCCAGGGGAAGGTGATGAGCTTGGGAGAAGGCACAGCTTGCAGAGGGAATGGAGGAGGGGTTAGCTAAATTTACTTTGAAAACTCTAACTTCTGAAACACAATGAGTAGTCAAACCCCAGCAGCTTCTCTGCATGCGGTGGGGCTGGGGGGTATCACTGGGCACAAGAGCGGGTGACTCCCATAGGTGTTAGCACTCCACTGGGAAGGAGGGTTTGGCCTGATTGAGTCCTTTCACATCCCCTGTCGGTGTGCGGTGCCTAAGGAGACCAGCCATTGTCTGCCTTTGTGCTCCCAGGCCCTACTCCCTTTCCTTAAGTGAAAAGATAACCTTGTCTTGAATGTGAGCACCCAGAGGTGGGCTCCAACTTAAGGGAGTTCAATCCATCAGACTATAGCTTTACAGAAAGAAGCCATTGCTGGCAACTGCAAAGAAATACTGCTTGCCCCTTAAAGTAATCTGCAGTAGAATTTCTTCATGACATAAGGAAATGACCTGGATTGACTGTTGGCTAACTCACTGTTTGGTTTCCGAGAAGCCTCCTCAGTTCTCCATATCTTAGTTCCTTTTTCGTTATAGAAATGAAGATTATTAAATGTCACTATTTCCACCCCTGGGGTTGTAATCAGGCTCAAATCTGCTAGGGGAAACCATTGGAAAAGTAAGAGTGTATAAGGATTAAGTCACTGTTGGAATAAGTTCCTCTTGCTTCAAATTATATGACTTGATATTGTCCCAAAGATACACTCTCTGAAGGACTCTCTTACATTAAGTAAGACATGTGACTCCTATGTGAGTTGTTTGCTTCCTACTATGGTAGTGTCAGACATTTCTGCATTTGTCCAAGTTTGTAGTTCAGCCATCTAAGCATCTCCTTTACTCCACTGTACTGCATTCACTCAGTGAAATTTAATGATCCTTGACTAACCCTAGGCTGAGTCTAAAGGGACAAGATCCTTTGCCAATAGTTAGTAGAAAAAAAAATACCAGATGCTGTGCCGTGGATAGGTGTCCCAGGGAATGTTTCCACTGGTAAAGAGGACAGATGACCTCCCTCTATTCCCCATCTGTAGGATTCCAAATATCCCAAAGGCCACAGACAACTACTTTATTATAATGTACAAGAGTCTGAGACCTTGTCATTTGTGAGGTGATTTGTAATTTCAGATAACCCATAACCATTCCCCCCGCCCTCTTCTTGGAGAAGATGAAAATCCCCACAGTGAGTCTTTCAAACACAAGTGAAATCAGGACTCTTTCCTGGATGGGCTAAGGGAGTGGGCATTGGCCCGCAGCCCTCACTTTATTCTGGGCACGGCCAAGGAAGCTCCCCGTGATCCAGAAGGGAAATGCCATCCACACTGTGGAGGCTGTGAAGCTGTACGTGGGCATAGTAGAGGCAGTTGTCCTGCATTTTGACTATACTTTCTAGATAGCACATTCTCAGCAAGATGAAGCCGACCCAAATGACCACAGATAAATTTCCATTCATTCTCCTCCCGCCCATGTCACATCTGAAATATGAACTACAAAACATACCAGAAACCCCTTTCACACTCAAATTTATTTTGAGTGGGAAAACTCAGTTCATGAAGACATGCTAGGAGAAGAACACAGGTAGGAAGCTCACTAGGTTTTTATCCCATTCTGTAGGTTGCCTGGGGGAAAGCTGGCATTTATAACTTTAAAGTGTGTGTGTTTTACAGCCCAGCTTTAAAAGGCTTTTTATTCCCTTGACATGTTAAAAGTGATGCGTCATATTTATGTGACCCAAGCAGGGCCTATTTAATTTTATAGCCTTGGATATTTAAAGCATTATTAGGCATTTGTAAAATATTTCAAAATACATTTTCAGAGGAATAATATGTTATGTTATTACAAAAACAGATCTGCCCACAGACGTACTAGATATCGGGGGTTTAAACTCGACATCTGCCATGCAGGTTGCTTTGGTGAGAACATTTGTCTAAAATCTGCTCACTGATATTAGGGAGGGGTGGTGAGCAACACAGTACATGAGAAATGTTGCAGAGGTTTCCGTTTCAGGACAGAGTCAAGCTCAGTGTCTCAACAGAAGGACCTTTCCATGCTTGTACAATGTCAAACTGCCCAGGGCCTCTCCACAAATGCCTTTTCCTCTGGCCTGTACACAAGAACGTCATTTCTTTGAGCACAATGGGTATTTGGTGAGGGCTATTGATCAAACTAGCATGTTGTTCAAATGCAGCATTTCCTCCTCTGAATCCTGCTGAAGCAGAAACATAAGTTGCAGTGATATGAGTCCAGGTGGACCCAATACGTTTTCTCTTAATTTATCGTTTGCCTCTCTTTCTAAAAAAAAAAAAAAAAAAAAAAGTCAAGTCTCTACAAGGCTTGGTGGGGTGGGGGGCTGCCTGCTGTACTTCAGTTCCAGTCTGTGAGATGATGGTTTAGAAATGTATCTTAAATACAACATCTGTGGCTCCTTCTCCATCAATAAAAACACACTCATAATTCTTTCAGAAGAGTCTGAGGAAGGCTTCCAGATTCCTGCCACAATAACAGAAAGATACAAAGTCGGGAGAACAATAGGAGATGGAAACTTCGCTGTGGTCAAGGAATGTATAGAAAGGTGAGCAGGGGACTGTTTGTGTGGGAAGTTAAAGGAAACAATTGTCCTTCATGGTTCCCATGGCCCAGTCTCTATTTTCAGGCAGAGGCACATATGGATTAAGTTAGTGTCTCAACGCCAGAGACAAAAGAGAAAAAAAATAATAAATAAAATCCACCTAAAGAGACTTTAAATATTTAACAGTTCCTGGGATGAAGTCTACAATATAAAGACTTTGATTTTTACTTACTGTGTTTAAGGAAAGCTTCCCAGTTATGTCAGGTAAAGTTTTTATATTATTTTCTTAAGAAGTCATTTTGAAGACCTCCTCCTGCACATATCTTCGGTTATGTTCTTTTATAGAGTTTGATCTCTAATATGTATCATCATAAAATGTATATCACAATAAGCCTGAAAGGTTTTAAAACACATGCTGACTCTACAGTGATGGCATTTGATCTGTGAAAATGTCTTCAGATGGGTAAACTAGAGACCCTGCGGGTTTAGAGTCAAGATCATTTCAAGCTTTCCTCAAACTCGCCACACTCCTACCTCTGCCTTCTGAGTGTCAGGATCACAGGCATGCTCCAATGCCTGCTTTATCCACAGGACCTTAAGGACTGCTTGAGGACAGTAGCTGGTGGCTGCCAGGTAAAGAAACGACAACAAATACAGCGCCATCCCATTCAGAAGTGACCTCAAACCTCAGCTCCAAGCCAGACTCGAAGTTCTTTCTTGGGCAATTGCTGACATCTTCTCAGAGCCGTGCTGGAGGCATTTAGCTCATCATTTGAAGGGATCCCTCTGGGTCTCTAGAGGCTGCCCTGAAAGAAGCATCTAGGTCTACCTGCTCCCCTTAGCTGGGCAGTCCTCAAGTTTGCAGAGCCTGTATAAGTATCTCTGTCCTGTGCCGTAACTACTCCTTAGAGAGGAAACCTCAGGCCTGGAGACAGATGAGGAAGCCGGATAGAAGAGCCAGGCCTGGGCATCGTCAAGAGCGATGGGTCTGAGCTGCTTTGAACTGGAAGCCTGCCTAGGGTATGAAGCATCCCCAGGATTCTTAGTAGAGGCAACCTCCACTGAGGGTGCCCTGCATCCCAGCACACCTTCTCATTGGAGACAGCAGGACCCCACTAAGCAACCCTTAGACAGAGGCTCTCAGATTTCACCCCCCTCGTTACTCCAGCTGGGCTAGGAGGTTCCCAACAGCATAGCAACCTACTGTGCACTTATTCCCCGTGAGGTAGAGTCATGAGAAATTGGTGGCATGAACCTCGCCCCTGCTGATCCTGTCAGTTTACCTTTCTCTTCTCCCTTAGTCTGCAGACCCTACACGTGGCACACAGCCTTTCAATCGCCTGACTGCCAGACACAGAAAACATCCCATTGTCACCGTGGGCTCAGACTCTGCTGAAACAGGACTAAACACTGTTTACTAGAGTATCTATCTATTCATGGCCCTTGTATCATCATATCCGTTGAATTCTAATGATCCAATTGGGTCAGTATGGCTGTTCCCATTTCATAAAAAGATAGACTGAAGAAATCAAATGTCCAAGTCCACTCATCTACTGAACACTTAGATCAGAGTTTTGCTCCCAAACACATATTTCAGTCTGTCTAGCCTACCCCACTGCTTCTAAGAAAGGATTCCCCCCACAAGAGTCTAATAAGGAACGCCCCTATGCCAAAGTCACCTTTCCAATGTACAATAAGGCAGAAATTAAATCAGGAAAGGCATTGCTAAGGTGATATGTGTGTACATGTGTGTATATATATGTGTGTGTGTGTGTGTGTGTGTGTGTGTGTGTGTGTGTGTGTATGATTACATATATACGTAGATGTGTATATGTGGTTGTAATTTTATACACACACAAACACACATTATCTTTCCACTAAGTAGAAGGTCTCTTATTTTGTCAGACTGGCATGGCCTTTCTTTGTGGGTTTTCTAATTATTTGCCAGCACTTGTCATCTGTTAAGTTGACCTGGTGATCAGTTACCATTTGCTCTAGCTGGTCCTGGACCAGGACGTATCTCAGTCCCAGGACCCTAGCCTTCTCACAGTAGACAGTTCCTACTTCTCCATTCAGAATTCTTTCTTTCCTTCTTTCTTTTCCTTTCCTTCTTTCTTTCTTTTTGTCTTTCCTTCTCACTGGGCTTGTGTTCATTTTGCATGAGTTCACATCTTGGGCTCACTGCATGAAACCTCAGAGTCTAAATACCAGATTTGCTCTGGAAGTGGCAGCATGCAGCTCCTGCTGAGCAAGGACATATGGCTAGTGCCCTCTCTCCCCAGAGATATTATGAAACATTCTTTTAATATTTTGCAGAGATCCAAGAAAATAAACGTAAGCTAGGAATGTTGTGGATGGCACATGCTGCTTGTGGGTGCGTTCTGCTACATTTTGGGGGATGAATGTGTATCAACAAGGGTAAAGATGTTCCTCCTCTGTAACAACCTGCCATCACAGGCAATTTTTCTACAGTGGGAACAATAACAGCGAGACATGGGTCTTTTCTGTAGGCCTTCTAGCATATTGTTTGCTAACACACCACTGTTTGGGCCATTGAGATTTTTTAAAAATATTTTTATAAATTCGTTGAGAATGTCTTATATTGTTTTCGACCATATTCATTCTGCTCCCTTATGTCCTCCCAGACTCGTCCCTCATCCCACACCCATTCAATGTGGTGTCCTCATTTTGTTTTTAAATCCATGGAGTCCCATTAATGGCACCTATTTACTCTCAGGCATGTGGCTATTCCCTGGTTATGTTGGAGCTATCAGAAGCCACACCCTCAGAGAAAACTGACTCTCCCTCTCCCGTCAGCTATCAGTTTCCAATATCTCCTCAGCCAGAGGTGGGACTTCCTATCCTCATCACACCCACCCCCCTCTATGCTGCGAATTTTTCTGGCTTGAGCTTGTGCAGATCTTGTGAGTACCCTCCGCTACTGTGAATTTATGTCTCCTTGTAGTCATTCAACACCTCTGGCTCTTACAATCTTTCCACAATGATCCTTGGGAGGAGGGTATGATATAATATCCCATGTAAGGCTGAGCATCCAAAGTCACTCTCGACACCTTGACCAGTTGTGGGTCTCAGGTACCTTTTGGAACTTCTCAGATGAAGGTCCGTTATACACTAATCTACAAGAATGGTGAAAACTTTTTAGGTGTCAATTTATTACTGTCTCGTTAGCAGAGTGCTTCCCAAGATAGTCTAGTTCCATGTTTTTGGCCCTGATGGTTGTCAGGTATGGGCTCCACCTTGTAGAGCCGCCTCAAGTTTAATCAGAAAACTTGCACTTGGGCTCCAACCTTAGGGTACATTTAATAAAAGCTGACCTCACCAATTGATTTGCCCTAAACAAGGAGAAAGACAGAATTCTCTCATGCTGCTGCTTTTACTGTGGCCTAGAGCTTTCCACAAAAGGTCAAGAATGTACTGCCAGGAACAGACAAGCAAATGGCCTGTGTTGGTATCAGCAAGACAGACAGCCAGAATTATTCTCCATGCCTTAAGTCAAGTTTGCTGTTTCGGTTAAGGTATGCCTTGGCATTGCTACCCCCATGGGGTTTACATTTGGTACTAACACCTGCTCTGGAGCTTGTTTTTAAAGATCAGCTACTCCTATAAACATATACTTGTGGCAATTAAGGGTTATTATTAAGTCACTACAGTTTTGTCTCTAAGAAGTCAAGAAAGAATTGTTGCAATATTAAACTTAGTGGCCCTCTGTGAGGTGTGCTATCTGATGTAAGATACAAGTAAATTGGGTAGACTATTGGATTGTGTTTTAGCTAGAGAGGTGACATATACTTGTTAATGAGCCTTGAGACCACCCAGCCCATACTTGCTTTCATCTTTCCCTCATCGGTAGGCTTGGGACAGAATGTAAAATCCTGGTCTTCTTAAAGACAACCCTGTCACCAGCTCAAGGATGTCTTCTTGCCTGCAGAGATAAATCCCATCTTTTCAGATTTCACACCAGCCACGGATATAGAGGACATTGGCATCACTCTTTCAAGAGAATCCCACAGCTGAGAAACTCACTCTTCCCACCAACATGGCTGTGTTTCCATTGTTTTATGAAAAGATGGGTTGGTTGGGGTGGGGTGGGGAGAGGTGAAATAGAGACACCTTTGGTCTTTGAGCCTTGCTTAGCTCCATCCTTGCTATCTAGCCCTGAGTGATATAGCTGTAAGTGTGGAATCCACAGGTCCAAGCCTAGATCCTCTTCCATCAAAAGACACATTCAAATCCAGAATGGAAATTGTTTGGGGGTTCTGATCGGAGGGTTCCTTTATCTAGGAGCCCTCCAGCTTTTAGTTTGCCTTTGATGAACTATCTTCAAACTTGCAAAGTCTTCAGAAGTCTCTTGAAGTATCTTTTGAAAGGGCCTTGTGATCTTATTAAAGCTTCTGAGGAACTGTCTGTATTGTGAGAGGGATGCTGATTCACTCATGTTTGGTGGTACCTCCTCACTGCCAAATGCCAACTTGCCTTCCTTACCTCTGCCTGAGGTGTGTTCTCTCTGTCTCAACCACAGAGCCTTGCTGATGGTCTGTGGTTTCTGTGCGGACATCTCTCGCCCAAATCCTACACTTTACTGAGGCCTGACTTGTTCATTCCCCCATCCTGACACATTGTAGGGAGCAGTAAAGCAGTATGGCACCCTGAGGCAAAGAGGCTTACCTCACCCCATCCAAAAACCGAAGTTCTAGCAGAGAAAAAAAAAAGCTTCCGAGTCATTACCGTGTGGTTTTACTCCCCATATCTAACCATAGTAATGTAAGGTTTATTGAGCATTTCCAATGCTGGGGCCTGAAAGAACAGTAATGGAAGCTTTTTTTTCTTCTTCTTCTTCTTTTTGAAATAGTATATGTCGCTAATTTCTAAAATACCCATGAGACAGATTTCTTAATACTTCGCCTCTTAATTTGTCTATAAAATTTTTTTTCTTTGCTCTTAGCATATATGTGGGTATCCCATTAAATTCATCATATTGAATACGTTAAAATTCCCTTTTCCAGATTTGCCCTTAATCAGACTCATTCCAGCCACTACCGTTTGGATTCAGATAAGTGACTTTTATCTGTAAGAAAGAGGCTGGCCTCTGTTGGTACCAGAAATGGAAGCTTGTTGCTTCAGAAGCTGTTGTTTGGTATAACCTCCTATGCACTGTGCCCTCTGACAACGGCTGTGCCCTTAGGTTTAGTACTAGAATATCTTGGAAAAACTGGTCCACATTAGCACTTATTAACAGGAGACAGCATGAGGGAGCTTTCTCTCCCACACCCATCAGGAGACACCATATGGCCGGGCTATATGGAAAGCTCAGAGTCTGAGAAACATGATTTTTGCCTTGCCATGGGGCTATGGGAAAGAGACTTGACTCTAACCATCCTTTCCATTTCATTCTGTGAGTGAGAGCCATAAAAGGCCTAGAGGGTCCCAGGAAACTGCAAAAAATGCTTTCCTCCTCTATTCTCTTTGAGCTCATCACTCTTGGGTTCTCCAGGAACTCACTCTGAGACTCTGACACTGAACAGACATCTACAGAGTGTGTTCTTCTTCTCAGGTGTCTTGAGGGTGACCTTAAGAGCTGTTCAGACAACTGTCATAGCCACTCTAGTGCACAGAGAATCCCAATACTTACATTGCCAACATTTGGGCAGCTGATGCAGGAGGATTGCCAGTTTGAGGCCAGCCTGAGCTATTTAGAAATGTGTGGCAGGAGTGAGGGGAATAATTAAAAGAGTGCCAAAGAGGTCAATTACAGGCATATGCTTTGAAACCCTGCTTGTGACTTCCAAGAGAAGGGACAGTAACTTATCATGGATTAAACAGCCAAAATGGCTGTGTTTTCTGTGCAAACATGGCTACGTAACTTGAGATCTGTGTATGCTAACACATCCATTGTCCCTAGATGGAGTAAGCCCATTAACATCTACATACTTTTTTGTTCAGAAAGAAAGGAGCCTTTCAGCAATAGAAACACTGAGACCTACAAGCAAGAAATTAACTCCCAACCGAAGGAGTCAATTAGTCCAGAATTAAGTTTTATTTTAAAAACTTTCTTTTTGCAGGTCAACTGCTCGGGAGTATGCCCTGAAAATCATCAAGAAAAGTAAATGTAGAGGCAAAGTGAGTATCAAGTTTACTCTGTGAAGCTGGTGCTCCAAGGGCAGACAAACAAAAAGCAGTTTGTTAACCCAGCACAGCCCAAGAGATGCATTCTGATGGAATAGAATGTCACAAACTTAGGAAGCAGTATAAATGGATAAATATTCCTGGAGTAAGCGTGGCGGGAATGATTTGATTTTGATTTTTTTCCCCTCATCTTTGCTTGCTTTATATTTTTTCCTTATTTTCATCATCTAAAATTCATTCCATCATTTTATGGACAATTTTAGTTGTCACGATGGGTTGAGTTTAATTATCTTAGAGTCTTCGGAATGCTGCTACATTTTGCCAAAATGCATCTCCCCTATATTCAGGTGACTATACTGTCTTGAGTTAGTTCCTTGTACATTTTGTGTCTATTCAAATGATTTTCCTTTGGACAGGAGCACATGATCCAGAATGAGGTGTCGATCTTAAGGAGAGTGAAGCATCCAAACATTGTTCTCCTGATCGAGGAGATGGATGTGCCGACTGAGCTGTATCTTGTAATGGAATTAGTAAAGGTGGGGGTTTTCTCTTTCTTTCTTTCTTTCTTTCTTTCTTTCTTTCTTTCTTTCTTTTAAAGAAAAACTACTTCTGTTGTCATATTTGAGGCTAGGGATGACCAAAACATGTCAACGTTACTGAGGTAAAAATGTTAAACTAGTATTCTACCAAAGAGAGACCCTTTTATTTGTTCATTATATATATTTGTATATATATTACAAAATCACTATTTTAATCACCTAGTAAATTATATTGTCTCTAGTTCACAGAATAGAATCTCACCATGGCATGGCTCTTTAAATCAACTCATTCCTGTTGTTCTGCTGGGTGCTATTAAAAAATATGATTAATCCCCCTATTTTTATTGGCCAGCTCCCCGTAGGCTGATTTTGTGGGGAATAAGTTAAATTTGGGGACAAGAAATTGAGGCATTTTGTGATGTATGTGGTGCCAGATCTCAGTCTGATTGCCAACTTTACGCTGATCGGATAACTACAGCCAAGCCTTCGTTGCACTGAACAGCCTTGGTGAATTCTCTCTGTATATCTAAGATGTCTCAGGTAGGGGAGAGAATGTTGTCTATGAGCCACAAAGAACTGCCTCAAGGCCTGAGCTTATGTGACAAGGATAGCCCCTGGGTCTTTGCTTTCACATGTCCTGATGCTGTATAACTGAGGGTAGGGGCCTCAAGTAAACCACAGAGAATATTTATCCTTCTCCTCCTTCTGTGGCTCAGAAACAAACTTCATACCTGTGTGGGGCAGCCCCATCTTTGAGAAAAAACAGAAATTAAAGAGAAAAAAAAAGAAAAAACATTGGTGTATGTTTGTTTGTGGAAGAACTGTGGCTTCCCTGACAGTGAGAGAAGCTTCCGGGGAAGAAATTGCATGGGGGACAGAGATGCCAGCATGCTTTGGGAAACCTGAAACCTGACAGCCTATGGGACTATGTTTTGTTTTTGCTGTTTTAAAAAGGGAAATTAAGTTGATCACTATGAAGTGGCATAGGAATGGTTTTGGACTCTGGACTCAGCTGTTTCTTGGTTGATACTCAAGCATGATGCAAACGTTTTTAGCAACACATACCCAAACTCTGAAAGAACTTTAAACACACACCACATAATGATGAGCCCCAAATCACTGTTTGACCAACTAGTGATAAATTAGAACCCAGGACAAACGTCCAGAGGAATAATAGGCCCAGAAAACTCTCTTTGAGATTCTCCACTCTCTTCCCCTCCCTCTCTCCCTTTCTTTCTTGTCTTTTGAACAGGTTGTAGGTCTCATTTTCCATTCCTTACAGAGAAACACATTATTGAAAAAGAGATCTCAACACCCACTTCAAGGGAGCTAAATGTAGCAAGTCGAAGAGAAAGAGAGAGAGTGCATTTCACACGTGTCTTAATAATTTCAAAGGCAAGGCACAGGAACATTCTGTTAAGGATGGAGTTTACAGAATTACCTGGGGGAGTTTTAGGACTATGAATTTGCACTTCAGCAGTTGGTGTGTGGCAGGTAGCACATGTCGCCTGAGTCCCTCACATGAGGCTTCTCAGCTGGGGACCCAGCCCTACCGCCTCTCTCCTGCAAAAGGGGCTGTGGAGAGAGCACATGTCTGCTGTCAGAGTCTCATCACTTTGCTCTTTTCTTAAGCTTGGGAGAAAATGTCAGTACCTTTCATACTAAGGAAAGAAAATCATCAAGGAGCGTTTGGTATTTTGAAAGGCGGTAGCAGAGAAAGCCCTTAGGAGGCCCCAAATCTTGGTCCGTTCGTTGTATCCTTTCTGGTTTGTCAGTCCCCTCCATGGGCAGTCTCTTGGTCCATCTGTCAATATCCCACCCAACCAGCTGCTCTGTTCCAGGGCGGAGACCTTTTTGACGCCATCACTTCCACAAGCAAATACACAGAGCGAGATGCCAGCGGGATGCTTTATAACCTGGCCAGTGCCATCAAGTACCTGCACAGCCTGAACATCGTCCACCGCGACATCAAGCCAGAGAACCTGCTGGTAAGAGGGAGGCCATCCTCAGGCATCTTGACTCCCAAGCCCCTTTTGAACATGTCCGCCCTCCTTGCTTTTCTTTCTTTTTAACTGCTTTGCCTCTTAGGGCTCATTCTCACTATACTCAGTTTCTCTTTAAGGTGATCTGTAAGAGCTCACATACCCTCAAGAAACCCGACTGCTTAGCAAACACATTTCAGGCCCAAGAATGGGAACAAAGTTCTGAGAAGAAGAAAAAAAAAATCAAAGGCTGGCTGTAGTTAATATCACAGGATCACGGGCCAGGACTGAGTAGTGAATGAGATCATTGCCGTGGCTGCAATTGTTTTATTCTAATATAAGAGAAAGAAAACCCTGTGTGTGGAGGGTTAATGTGTTGAATGATGGCCACACCCATCCATCCCCAATGGTTCACCAATGTCCTCTTTGCCAGCCCCCACCTTACTTTTTGTGACAGGGTCTCTCACTGAAACCAGAGCCCACCCTCACCAAGTCAGCCAGTCTAGCTGAGCTGACCAGCAGCAAATCCCAGGTATCTGGCTGTCTTCACCTTCCTTGTCCTAGGACTACAGCCATGTACCACCACACCTGGCTTTTATGTAGGAGCTGAGGATTCAGACTCAGGTCCTCACGTCTGCACAGCAGGCTCTTTATTGACTGAGCTGTGTCCCCAACCACCAGTAAATTGTTTTATTCTTCTAGCTTTGCATCTTAATGATACGGTCTAAAAACCAGAGAGAACTGGATCATAAGAAGTAGATGTTCTCGTCTCGGCACCAAAGCAACCATGGAAAGGACAGATTTTAGAAAATAAGTAATGGCTGGGATGTGGCTCAGTTGGTAAAGTGTTTGCCTAGCATTCATGAAGCCAAGGGTTCTGGTCTCCAGTACCGCATAAAACTGGGTATGGCGGCATATGCCAGTAATACCAGCACTTGTTAGGTAGAAAAACAAGATGACCAGAAGTTGAAAGCCACCCTTGGCTACATAGGGAGTTCAAAGCCATCCTGGGCTACTTGACCCTGCCTAAAACAAATTAAAGCAGAGAACAGCCCCAAAGCCCTAATGTCTTTCTTGTCTTTATAACTATTTATGAGATTTGCTGTTTATAATTCCCCTGTCTGAGTTCTCCATGCCAAAGGTCCCTTGCTGACTGTACAGGTTGTCTAGATGGGAGCAGAAACAAGGCAGGAGGAACTATTCTGGGAAACACGGAGTAGCTTACATTTTACTGATTCTTCAGGCTAAAGACTTAATTATAAATAAAAATAATTTTTCTCCCATTCACCCAAAGACCATCTTTTTTCTCTTCTGGTTTCCATTTCTGAGCATATTTAAAAATGTAGATTTCTGGGTCTTAACGCAGCTCTACTAAATCAGAGATTAGTGTCTGGTGGCAGGGTACAGAAATCCATACTGCAGGCAGCTGCTCGAGATGATCAGAATCCACATACCTTTAATCCCAGCCCTGGGGAGGCAGAGGCAGGTGGATCTGTTTGAGTTGGAGACCAGTCTGGTCTACATTGTGTGTTCCAGGACAGCCAGGGCTACACAGGGAGACCCTGTCTCCAAAAACTAAAATAAAATCACAAGGGTATCTTACCTTCCACTTCACAAATAAAAGCTGATGAGGTCTGCCACTGGAGAGAATTACCTACATGTTCTACCTCTACGAGGGGCTTTTAAAAATATGAGGGAGGGGGCTTACAGCCGGGATACAAAGTGAATAAAACTATAATTAATAATTTTTAAAAAAATACCTACTATCTTCTTAAAACTCACAGCCACCATACAGAGTAAATTCTTTAACTGCTCTAACTCACAGGTAAAGAAATGGGGTGCCTAGAATATAAATGACTTACCCAAGGTTATACAATAATATACAAGTAGAAAACTCAAGATCTCAACTGAATTCTGACTCACAGAGACCCTAGACTGTACTCTGGGTTAGGGGGAGACTAATCAAGTGCCACCGTGGGCCAGGTCCCATGCCAGGAAACTGGACACATTCCTTTATGAAGTTGACATTCAGGCTTAAAAGACAGGCATTCAAGAAAAAAAAAAAAAATGCACACAATTAGCTCATTGCAATTACATTGGTAATCTTGTAGCCGCTGGCTCAGGCAGGCAGCGGAGGTCAAATGGCAGAGGTCTGACTTAATTGCACCTCAAATTCCAAATCTCTGCAGCCGCCAAAACATTCTCTTCTGCATAGCTGCCTCCATGGACTGCAGCAATTTTCTGTCATCCACAGTCATTACTCCTGTATCCTGATTCATGTAGCCTCGCCTCGTGGGAACAGGCTTACAAGTGGGTCTTTGTTAAATAACTTCTCTAAGCCCTGAACCTCGGTGATTAGAAAGTAGGGCTTCATTTCCCCACCACAGTGCCCTTTTTGGGCTGCCACTGTTTGTTACCCACCAGACCATTCTCTATTTCTGTAAATGCCTTCTATGATTACACAGCAGTGTACTTTTTCTAAAATTATAATTTGCAGGATATTTTTAAATGCTGTGCTCATTGGAACATGCTTTAACTTAAATGAACCAGGAAGAAAATATATATACTCTCTCCTCTCTTTCTCCCCCTTTTCTAACCTGATTTGAAATACATAAAAAACCTATTGCAACCATTCATAAAGTTTTTTTTTTTAATATCTACACACACGCACCAAAAAAAAAAAAAAAGAAAAGAAAAACTAATAGTTTTGCTTGCCCATTGTAGTGGTTGTGAGTTGATGCGTTTTTGAGGAATAGATACATCTATCACAGAATAAATATAAAAACAGAACATTTAGCAGAATGAAGATGACATTTCTAATTGCCCAGGAGACCCCACCCTCTGCCTTTACTCCGAACACTATTGAGCTTTTCCGTTATGAGAGCCACATCTTCATATGCTCAGAGTTTACATATTGAGTCTGCCCACCTCCTGCTGTCTCATTCTATAACCTTGAACAAGATCTTTAACTCCTCCAAGCCTCCTTCACAGGAATTTTATGGAGGCAAAGAGACACATAACTGTCAGTGCCTTTCCTTTTTAATCTCTCTTTTACTTGTGGCAAAAAGAAAAATTAAAACTGCCTCACAGTAACATTGCATATAGGGAAATGTCCTTTCTTGCCTTTCATTGTCATTGCTTTTAAATTTTTTACTATTGATGCACATATAGTTTTCTTCAGTTTTGTGACAAGACGCAGATCTATAGATTATTTTAGAAAAACGATGTGGTAAAGTTAGCATGAATTTTTGAATGTATCTACTTCCTACAAGGGAACTTAACAAATACATACAAGTACCTCATTTCACATTCTGCTTTACTCTTTCATTAAGAGATCCCGCAAATCTTTTTGAATCAAGTCCTTTGATGGTTAAATATTTGATTTAGAAATTTATAGCTAGCACAGTGGATGTTATCAATGCCAAATACAGATTTAATTTATGTAGTATAATTGAACATACAGAATTCTGGGCATATTTTACTATTAAATCTACGGCACAAATATTAAAATGTAGCATAGCCTTAAAGATCTGTACTGATCGTGCAAATGGTTGATCTAATTGTGCTTGTTAAGGTCAAAGTATTTTAATGAGAAAACATGCCCCCCCCCATTGCACTGTGTCCTGCTACACTTTAGGTGAGAACTGACAACTGACCCAGTAAAAATATGACTTATGAATTTATTCTTACATCAGCTTTAACGTTTTTTTTCTCCATGTCATCCCTGTGTTTGTTTGTTTTACTTGTTATCAAACCCCGTGCATAATAATCAAATGGATGAGTGACGGGTGGGTGACAGAGTGGATGAGACAAGGACTGACTGAGCAGAGCTTCATTAAAGAACTAAGGATGGGGTGGGGTGTGGCTCAGGCCATTTCTCAACTCCCCATTTACATGAGAGAGACACCTTGGCTCCAGTATGAAACTCCGAGGGCAGGGAAGGGAAGGTACAGCAGTTCCCCAGCCCCACTTCTGCATGAGATCAGTATGCATGCACCCAACAAGACAAGATTATTACGAAAAAGGCAATTTTTAAAACAAAAGCTATGAAACATGTTTGCTGGACATGAGGGGACCATCGCACACATAAATACACACAGTGACTGGGACTCCATATAAAAGACCCACAGCTGACCAAGCCAGCCACAACCCCACCAAGCATGGGGAGGAGCTCGTAACCTCTCACACCCTCCTGAGGAGCTATTGGCAGTTGCTGGCTGCTGGCACAGGGAGCCAGTTTTTTTTCCAAGGAGGCAGGCCCTGAGAAGCCAATGTTCCAGCAACGTGTCCTACTCCTCGGCACACGCAGGCATCACTAAGCAGACTCAGTAGGCTTTCAGAAAAGAACACATGAAGCAGGCAGGGAAAAGTCAGGTCTGGGAAGGGGAAGAATTAAAGGAGAGAAAATGGGAGGTGGGCTTGACCAAAAAACACTAACACATGTATGAAATTGTTAAACTAAAAGAAAAAAAAAAGGAAAAGAACCTAATGCATGAAGTTATTTCATATATATATATATAATTTAAGAACACTGTCTGCTCTTCCAAAGGACTCAGGTTCAAGTCCCAGCACCCACATGGCAGCTCATAACTGTATGTAACCCCAATTCCAAGGGATCTGACATCTTCACACTAATGCACATAAAATGGAAAAAAAAAAAAAAAAAGAATAGCATGAAGTTCTTAAAGATGGCCAGCAGATGGCAAAATACCGGGCAACAGAAGTCACCACTCATACCTACTGTTGCTTCGGGGAACTGGGCGAGTCTTTAAAAACCTACAAACAGGTGTCGCGTCACAAAATTTAGCCTTTACTGGCAAAAATACAACTAAACAAATGTTTTCATTAGATTATAAAAGTAAGCAGGTTGTCTTTAGTCTTCTCCCAAAAAGTATATGCTTGAAACCGTTTTTCTCCCTAACTCTGTATCGCACTCTGCAATTAAAGGTAGTTTCCTTGAGAATCTGCTTCTCCTGGTAAGAAACTCTCTCAGAACCCTCTGCCCA